TCACTTCAGTCCTAGGAGAGATTCATTTGCTAACTCGAGAGCGGTCTCTAGGAAAAAATTTCATGGAGGGGCAGGATATATGTCTTCTAGTGCTAATGTAAGAGGAGGGAAAGAATCTTATGCAGATGAATTTGGCTATCACAAAGACCAGAGATGGAACTTTTCAAGGGAGGCAGACAGCGTATTATGGTAGTCATCAAGATGGCCTCCAGCAATCTGAACTAGATATCCCAAAAGACGATCTCACTCTTCAAGACCAGAAATCGAACAAGGATATAACTCCTAGGTGTGATTCACAAGCTTCTGTATCTGTTTCGAGTCCTCCTAACTCTCCACCACATCTCTCCCATGATGAGTTGGATGATTTCAGTGATTCTCCCATGGCATCTATTACAGCGAAAGGGAAGAAGAAGAAGAAGTTCCGATACGTGCGGCGTGTGATGGAGAGAAAGAGAGGGCAGGTCTGTCATAAATGTTGTCTGAGGGAATAAGTTGAGGGTTTTGTCCAAAACCTCCCAATTTGCTCGGGAATGAGAGAAGTCTGATTTTTTAGAAATGATTCCAAAATTTGCATTCCAATAGCCTTAACCCAAGCAACAAATAAGGGGTTAATTCCTTTCTGTGATTCCCAAACCCTTTAACCAAGCAGTCCCCATGTCATTTTAATCATGGGACACAATTGGTATTAAATACACAATCATCAGTATAAAATAGCTAGGAATAGGGATGCGTGTGATGCAACAGATCTTTTGTCCTACTGCCTGTGCTACTCTTTGTTCCATATTTTATTGTATTATTATTTTTTCTTCATAAATATCATATTTTAATTCTTTTTTATTTTAATAATACACAAAATTTAATAAACTCAAAAAATAAAAAATACACAAAAATGAGATTTGTTTTAATTTTCTGTTATATTTTTAATTTTTATTATATATTGATTTTTTCAAATTATTGCATTTATTTTTACTTAGTTAATAGTTATCAGTTTTTTTTTTTTTTTTTGGTTAAAGTATCATTTTTATTATTCACCCAATAAGAGGATATAGTTACAGAACCCTATCTCTGCGAAAAGATGGATATGCGAATTTGTCCATCCGATATTCACCCCTAGCCATTGCAGGCAACCCCACAATACTATCATACATACAGACCGAATGAGAAGGATGAGCAGGTCGCGGATGTATTGGCCAATATAGTTATCAGATTTTAAAGAAACAAAAAAAAAATTTTGTAAAATACAAATAACAATATAATAAAAAGTGGAATAGAGAGTAGTACAAAAAGTGAGACAGAAGATTCGTTACCTATGTTATTTTTATTCAATTCTCTTGTAATGTTCTCTCTCTTGTTTGTTATTGTCACTATGTTATCTGTAGAGCATATGCAGTTAAATTTGGTGGAGTTAATTTCCTGATAACTTTCTAAAGTTATCCAAGGCAAGATCACCAAATTTTCTTCAACCCAAGAAGAACCAAAAAAAAGAAAAAAAAAACAGAGAGAGAGTTTTCATTACTACTATTTTGAGTCTAATTTTGCAGACTTATGAATATGTGGTTGTGAATACAGATGCCTCTACAACATGCTTGAAAACAGACACTAAATTAATAATATATGCCTAAAATAACTTATCTTTTTTTTTTTCCGTTCTAATCTAAAATGACTTGTGTAAATTACATAAGAGAAATCAACTACAAAGCACCTTTAGGCTTTACCCAACTCCACCACAAGAGAGTCTCCAAAACAAGATGCCCCAGTCAAGTAGTTCATCACATTTTGAGGGGGAACTGTGCTTTGATATTGCCAAGCTGGTTCAGTTATCAATTTTAGTTGGTTCATATTATGAAATGGAGAAGGGTGATCTTCGAGAGCAATGGACTCCATAGCAAGAACCTTTGGGCAAATAGTAATAGAAAATAACAAGTTAGATTGAAAAATTAGCCAAACGAGAGCTCATTTTCCTTCCATATAAATAACTTGGACGGGAGTAAATAAATCCGTTTTCTAAAAGATCATGATTTCCATACTTTAGGGGGCTTTCAAGATCCTTTTAATTATCTAATCGGATGATTGTCCCGCAATGTATACAGAAAATACACTTCGTAGTGACAAAATTGAGTAAATAAAGCACGTAAAATTGAGAACCCAAAAAATGAAAAAATAAAAATAACAACAACTACTACTACTACATTAGCGACAAAAATAAATGTTGAAAGCAATCTTTATAATCCTGCACTCCTACTAGGAGTTGGCGTTAAAACCATTTCATCTCTTAAAGGACTGATACCACTTTGCAGACTCTTAAGTTTATACTGTTTTAAATTTTGTACTATCAACTTTTATTTTGCATAGTTTGACCCTACAATTATCACAATAATTTTATTTTTTTTTGGAGCGCAATTGTCACTATGCTTCAAATCTCATTAACTAGTTTTTTTTTTTTTTTTGTGGGTTTAGGTTGCTAATTAGTAAATGAATGCAAGAAAACCAAAGCGCACAGTTTGGGCTTACCCAAAACAAAAACAAAAACAAAACAAAAGGCACACACGTTGAATCATTCTTTAGCGAGTCTTAGCCAGAGAAAGGGCAGCATGGTATGTGGGCATATGTTGCACATTTTCATTAATTTGTGTGCAAGATAACAGATGGTGTGTTTTTAGGAATTTGTTAAGGTAGAATTTTTACAACTACTTTTGTATATTTGAAGAGTCTGGAGAATATTTGTAGAGCTCCGTCACCCAACACATGCCATCCACGCTTGTAATTGCACCGACAAGCAACCACCAGCACCCCTTCCACCACTGGCCACCCTATCCCTTTGTCTTCCCCCCACCACCACCTACCACTACCCCACTCTTCTTGCCCGTCACCACTACCAGATCTGGTCACGGGGAGGGAGAGGGATGAGGGGGGAGCGCGGGCAGGAGTTGGGGAAGAGGGGGAGAGGAAGGAGGAGGGGAGGGGGAGAGAGGCAAGAGGTGGCAGGGAAGGAGCAGGGGATGATGGGACTTGGAAGAGGGGAGGAAAGGAAAGCGAAGAGGAAGGCTGCGGTGGCGGTGATGGGGGGTGATGATAGGGAAAAGGGGTGGTGAGGAGGAGGAGAAGGGAGAAAAAGGGAAAGGTGAAGATAGTGGGGGTGGCAGTGGGCAGTGAGGGTGGCGGCTGCAACGGTGGAATGAAGTGAGGGCGGCAGCAACGGTGGTTGAAATGGTTAGGGAGGGTGATGCTAGACGAAGGAAATGGGTGTGTGTTTATTGGATGTTTTGGGATATGTTTTTTTTGATAAAATTTAGATCCTCTGTGTTTTTTGGGTGTTTTTCAAAAACTAGTTTTTCAAATACAATAAAATTTTTAAAAAGTATTCTAAAAGGTAATCTAAAAATTAGTTTAAATTTTTTTAAAATTTTAAAAAATATCTCAAAATATATTTTAAAAACTCTTCTACTCTTAAATATCCTAAAATATTTTTTAAAAATATTTCAAAATATACTTTAAAAACTCTGGTACAGCAAAGTTTTTCAAAAATACCCCCAAAAACAACTAATCCAAACGGAGCCTATAGTGTTTTAACAAGTTCTTGTAGTTAAAGTTGAGAAAAATTTTTGTCTATTAAAACATGCCACACAGCGATACTATATATCCAAAATAAAATTTTCAAGAGTGAAAAAAATGAAAATTTGAAATGCAATACATAGAAATCAATAACCTTAGGATATGAAGTGCCCAAACAAAAATTCAAAGTGCAACGTGAAAATCATTGAGAATATTGAGAGTGCAACTAGTAGAACTAATCTTGGTTTACCATCATATATTAGCAATTCTAGATATGTTTTTCCCACAAAACAATGTCCCAGACTCCCAGTCCCACAGATTATACATATATCTACACGTGTGTAATCCTCAACTTTATTTTTGTGAAACGGCTCTTGAAAACTAGAAATACAATTCAGCAAAGGTAATTATCATTGGAACTCTGATATCTGTTAACCAGACTTCTCTTAACTCCCTTAATTTACGTGAAAAGACATTAATACATTAATTTCAATTATAATTACAACCAACCCCTTTTTTCCCTGTATTACAACTGAAATATATGGTATAGCATTCATTTTTGCATTTGATTAAAATAGTTAAAAAAGAGTGCTATTCGAATTAGTACTCCGGAGTATAAAGACATATGGATAGATGAAAATCTTTGACTTTCAAAAAGGATAAATGGAAATTGGAAAGGGGCGGCGTAAAATAGTAAATTACCTCAACGGTGGACAAAGACAGAGCAACAGATTTGGCATTTTTCAACTGCTCCAGAAACTTGATCAGATTCATGGGCATCTTTTCTTCGATTTGATCCGTATATGGACGTTCAAGAAGTGGGTATAGGTCCACATAAACCTTCTCTAGACAGGGAAGATCCTCCATAGCACAAACCAAAGAAACCTGACCCTCAAACTTGAATGAAGTCAAGTTTGGGGCAGAAATAGTTCCCATCTTCGATTCTCATGAAAACTGAGGAAGAGAACCATAAAATAACAATTCCAACACCTTAAGCTTGGAAGCAGAGATGGCTAAACCATCAACTATGCAACAATTTAAGGTCAACTCTTGAAGATTTTCGAAACTCGAAAAGGGTTCTTTAGGAAAACAAAAGGGTTCACCATCATTAAACTCAAAGCGTTCGAGATGCAGTGATTTCAGAGTTGGTAAGCAAAAGGGGTTTGGTATAATCATGCTCTGAGAGTAACTCTTCAGTCTAAGCTTTTGCAGGGATCGACAGGTGAAAAGGCACTGAGGAAATTGGAATGGTTCGGGATAATGATATGCAGCGATATCAAGTTCTTGAACTTGATGGTTTATTGCATAATCGACACAGTTACAAACAAAGCTTGGATCAACATTAACGCCAAAGGCTAATCGAAATTTATGTATGCTTGAGCTGTTGTCACGATGAGAAAGAACTTGATTAACGAAATGAGTATAAGGAAGCAAGATTTGTTGAGATTGCCATACCGGGGAAGGAGATTGGAATCTGTATCGGTCAAAATCAAAGTTGAGATCTGGAAGGTAAGTCCAGAGGGGAATCCACCTTTTGGACAATGCACTAGTTTGAATAGACTGTTTGAGGTCGAGAAATGAAAGGATTTTGCAGAGAATGGAATCAGGTAAGTTGCTGATTCTGTCTTGATTCATATTGATGAACTTTTGCTAGCTCTTGGATGATTTCTTCATAAGCCAACCTGAATTTTCGTGAAATTAACAGTATTATCTGTAATTCTAATTTTTGGTGCTGGGCTGATTCTCACAGATCTTGGTTTGAAGCTAGGAGTCAACTCTAATGCCAGAAGTCTATAAGAATGTTATATTTTAAAGGTAAGACTTTTGTGCTTGTTGACTAAGTCTCTTACCTCAATTCTATGTAATTTCTTTCCAATCAACAAGAATTTGTCACCTAAATATTTATTTCTATGTAGATGTGTTGCACAATAAAATGTTCTCAATTCCATGCCTTATCGTGATTTTTATTTTGAGAAATGGCCGTTGCAAGTTGTTAAAAGTAATTATTATTGGCACTCCTATATTTTTTTTTTTTTGTTTTCGAGTCTGGAGGCTAATCCCTCTAAACTGGCTGAAATTTGCCCTCAAAGATATTCAACAACGATAGCATGTGAAGGTCGAAGCTGGAACCTTGCTGTAACTACATACGATCAATCCCAACCAATCTACCTGCGGGAACACTCCTATATTTGTTAGTGATACGATTTTTTTCTCGGTCACATAATAGGGAATAAATTCCCGTACTTTTAATTGTGATAACCTTGAATATTCACTGGACACAAAAGAAACATTCATATTCCCATTTTATCCCCCCCCCCCCCGGTTAGAGGGAAAGTAACACATGCATGCAGGATAACTCATAAAAATTAAGGTAAAAATGATATTTAGCCTCTTGTATAAAAGAATAAAAAATTCTAGTAAATGAAAAATAAATAGAGATAAAAAAGATCATAAATAAACATAAAGAATTAGATTTACCAAAATCTACACGAGCATATCAAATACTCTATCTACTTCGAAGTTATTCATTTACTCTCCATTTAATTTGGGGTTTTTCTCTCATTCCTTTTTTTTTTTGTTGCCATGTTAAATGATATTATCTGGCAAATAAAAAATTCTTTCATTTTTCTCCGTATTTTTTACAAGTGACATGTTGAGCAATGAATTTTTGTGCCAAAAAATGAAAATTGGCCAGTTGTGTTGTCATTTGCTCTCATTTACGAGGGTTAGACCAAAGCCCTTCTTTTGATCCCCCCCCCCCCCCCCAAAAAAAACTTTGTAGACAATTTTTTTGGATATTATTTAGTGAAATTAGCCCTCTATTAAAGGCGGTACAAGGAATTGGTACGGATAATGAATTTCAATATTAATCTGAAGTCGAGACAACGAGATCAGATGCGGGTAGGCTAGTAAATCTGGTGGAAGGTAGACGATATCCAATTTCACAACCATAAATGGTCATCCTTACCAACCGCTTTTGTTAGTTTGTGCTAGATTTCTGTCTTTTTCTACTTTTCTTTAATCCCTGTTCTACCCACTAAGGAATGCATTTACTTTGACAAAATTGCTGCTTTTACTAATCCTCCTTGCAGGTTTAACCAAGTCAATTTCATTATGTGTGCCAGAATAGGAATCCCTCAAGTTCTCTCTTTTGCAAAACTGTGGATGAACTTGCTGAAATCATACAAAAATTTGCACTCTCAAATAATGAAATTAAAGGAACAGATCTTGACCAGGAGGATGTTGATTCACGTGTTCAAGAATATAATTCGAGCCTCACAGGGACAATTAAAGGGGGGAAAACTAGCAAACATCACAGGAGTTAAAGAATTTGTTACTATAGCACGGGGATATCCGAGGGACTTGAGAGTTACTAAATTAGGGCTAAATTTGTTTCAATTCTCGATCCCTAATGAAACTGATAGGGGAAGAATCCTTCATGGAGGGCTGTACATATTGGATAATCAGTGGTCTATTTGGTATCTTCTTTTGCCTGTTTTTAATAGACAATTTTTTTTTATAACTTTATTTGTAGGAACTCTTTAAAAATACTCTAAAATTTCTAAAATACACACTTAAAAATATCCAAAAATATACAAAATTTTTTCTTTCTTTCCTTTCTTCTTCTTCCTTGTCCCCCACCTTAGCTTACTACCATCAGCGGGCACTCTATTAGCAAGCTCCCCCCCCCCTCCCCTCTCTCTATCTCTCTTCCTTTCCTCCTCCCTCTTTCTTCTTCCCTCCTAAAAGTATATATGCCTTAAAAACAATCATTTTTAGGGATTTTATATATACTTGAACTACTTCTGCATTAATAAATATTATCTTTATCATATTGATTGTTTGTACATTTATACTTGTATGATAAAGTTTCTAGGATAAACTTAATCAATGAAATCATAAGTGTTATGATGGTGAGATTTATTTGATTAAGTATAAAATTTATTCTAAAATATCTATAATCAAAATATTAACAAGAATGGGACATTATTAATATGGTTAGATTAGCATATACTATATCGCTTCCATTAGGGAAGTAGTAGACCTCATCTATTAATGTGATGTGTGAGATACCTAAACTAATCTTTGGTTACGTGATGATATGATCAGTTCACTATATTGATCTGCATAGAGATTTCTTTTGTACCAAAAGAATTAATCTTTAAATGGCGTTTTGTGTAAGTGATTCTTGGACTTAAGGTTATTATGGTAGCTTGAGTGTGGATTATTGTACTTTATTTGTTATATGATTACTTCCGTAAAAGAGAATGCTTACATTATTAACATATGGGTATATTTCAAAAATTCTTAATACCAAGTGAATGAGTCTTGAAAAAGTGTTTTTAAGTACTTATTCTTTTGGATTTATATTTTAGTACAAGAAAATAACATTAATCGCATAATGGAATTGGCACGATTCATTCTATAATTAATGTGAAATAAATATGGTAAAAGGATATTATTTACATGGTAAACATTTGTTGAAAGGTGAAGTCATTCACTTGACTTTTCTCATTATTTGGGTGATCATGATATACTGCTAGATGCCAATCTTGATCTATAAAAATGTTGATTGATTAGTTAAATCAATGATAAATTAACTATGCCTTCTTTTTTATCAAATATTGGTTGACAATCTTTGTAGAACAATCTTGAGGATGTCAATGGTAGGCCTAGATACTTCACAGGTAATAGTCCTTTTGGCATCTTGACAATATCACCAAGTGAAGTGGCTTTTTGCTTATCAATTCCTGCATAAAAAGCTTGGCATTTCTATAGATTAGGCTGCAAACCTGAAAATGGTAATTTTGGTCTCTTATCTTTGAAGTTTTAGTCAATTTAATCCCTTATCTATTATTCTAATCATTTTAGTTCCTTACCTTTCCTACAAAAAGCCAATCTAAACTCTCTAATAAACAAAAAAGAAAATTTGCCAAATTGGTCCCTAACATATACAACAAAAAAAAAAAACTTTTTTAATCTCTAACATTTAAAATCAGTCATAATAGTCCCTAACATATAAATTATGAGTCATTTTGGTCCTAATGCTCGTATTTGCTCATTTCTCCGACTGAAAATATCACGCCTCTCTCACGTGAACATATTTTCAAGGGCAAAACCGAAAAACACACTTCATTTCCCTTCTAAAGCAAAAGTGCACGGGACCACCACCCCTTTTTCACTTTCCTCCCTCAAATTACAGCCACAAGAAACCCTAATTCCCTACATCCCCTAATTAACAAGCATAACTTGAGGAATTATGGTGACGATGACAACAACGAGAAAGGTGTAGGCGTGTGATTGAGGAGTGGTCGAAGCTTTTGCCAAAAAAATCGTGAGATGCACGAGTTACCTAAAATGCACGAAGAACATCACATATCAAGACCAAATTTTAGCCCCACACCCCAAACCCAAACCGACCTGAAATGTTTAAAAAGCTTACTCCATAATTTAGGCACCCATAGAATCTTCTTCCCGGATTTGCAGGTTTCCAAGAAGTCACAATGATGGGTTCATTTCCACAAAGACATCACTTCTTGTTCGGATCCATTGTATTTTTCAATAGGTCAGCTTCTTCATTACATTTTCTTGCTATTCTTCCTCCATTGCCTAGCCATCCAATTGCAACCGTGTTTTTCTTCTTCAATTTTGGTTTTGATGTGAGGCAATTAGGGTTTAATTGGGGAAATATGAAAGAAAGATGGAAAAACTCAACCGAAAATGAAGTGTGTGTTTCGGTTTTACCCTTGAAAATATGCCCATGTGAGAGGAGTGAAATTTTCAGTCGGAGAAATGAGCAAATACGAGCATTATGACCAAAATGACTCATAATTTATATGTTGTGGACTATTATGGCTGATTTTAAATATTATGGACTAAAAAGTTTTTTTTTGTAAATGTTAGGGACCAATTTGGCAAATTTTCCTAACAAAAATTAAAAATTTCTAACGAAATTAGTCCCGTACACAATATGTGCATCACTAAAAATGACTATTTTGCTCCATTATCACTATAGTCATATCGAATTTGGTTCCTCGTATGTCGCCACATACTCGTTAGTGCGTGTGTGTGCTTTTTTTTTTCCTTAAAAAAATCTACTGTTTTTTTAATTTCAAGGATAGACTTATAGTACACAAAACTGGCTCTATGAGGATTTTCTAATTTTCCATCAAAAGTCCTATATTGATTTTATTTTTGTGAAAATGAGAGTTTACATTATCAAAAGGATAAAATAGACAACTTTGAAGATAATGGATTAAAACGGTTATTTTTAACAATGCACATTTATTGTGCCTGACTAACTCCTCTAAAAATTTTCAATTTTCCATTAGATGCCCTAAATTGACATTTTTCTTTTTAATAAAGATAAGGGACTAAAATGATCGCATCAATAGATTAAGAACTAATTTGACCTAGATCCCAAAGATGAGAGACCAAAATTAAGCCTGTCAACGGGTCGAGTTCGATCGAAATTTCAAATTTAAACCTGTTTTTATGTAGTAGATCCAGACCCGACCCGTATACCCGACGGGTCTTGAACTTATAGTCCCGAAACCGGGTCCGACGGGTCTCAGGTCGGATCTATCGGTTCCCGAGTCAGACCCGGTTCTATCCGAAAAGAAAAGGCTCAACTAAAAATAAGGTCCAAAACTACCTACATATTAAGAAGTTTGCAAAAATGAATTACAGTCATTCCAAAACTAAATCCAAAACCAATCACAAATCAACTTCCAAACTTAAACAAATCAAATTACAAAGCTAAATCACAAATAACTCGCAATAGTCAATCCAAAACCAACCACAAATCAATCTAAGGTTTGTTATTTGTTAATTTGGTAAAAGAATGTATTTAGAAATATTTATATTTTACAATTATTAATATATTATTCTGGTCCAGGTCGGAATCCTATATTTCGTATCCAACCCGCTTTTTTATTAGAGTAAATGGGTAC